GCCTGGCGGATGCGACTGACCGAAACGCTACCACGAAAAAAAGCGGGGGATGTGTGTTCAACGTACAAATCGGATGTCTTACAGATATCTATAGATCCCTCTCTCTATCTAATCCAATCTAATCTAAACTCATCTAAACTCATCTAATCCAATCAATATATATATATGTTGTCGATCTTGTATTGTACACAATATCTGCATGAGCAGATGTATACACCTCTGATTACAACAGTATGCATGTACTGTATCAATAATGTAATTATAATAAAGTAATCATATGGATGAGGAGAATTAGCACCCATGGCAGCCAAGTCATTGGGAACCATCAGCCCACTTGGGCTCCCCAGCATTTCCTGTTCATGGCCACTTTGTACCATAGCCTGTCTTCGACGACATACAACAGAGTGGTTGACCCGGTTGACCCGGTTAACCCAAGTTGGAGAAGCTTAGTTGGAAATTCGCCAGAGAAATCCTCATCTTCAATGACGCATCCTTAAATGATGATAGTGAATTATTATCATATTTTCCTTCGAAATTCGTCATTTTTCTATTCATCAGATGATCTTTTTTCATGACGCATCCTCCACTGCTCGGCTGGAAAGTCCACCAAATTTTAGTCATGGATTGATGTTCCAACTTGCCACATTTCTTTACCGAAGGCTACCCTCTGGTTATGTCAAAATAGCTATTGAAAATGACCATAGAAATAGTGGATTTACCCATTGAAAAGGATGATTTTCCATGGTTATGTTAGTTTACCAGAGGGTATATCGAATTAGATTCCCATTGTTTCCCCATGATATCACTGTCATACGGTGGATGCGTGCGAAATGCTGCATACGGCCTCCCGGAAGATGGGATTCTGCTTCCAAATCCTGCGGTACCTCAGGGTACAGCAAAATATGGCAATGTCATGGGATATGAGATATGGATATAGGATATATATATAGAGAGAGAGAGAGGATACATATATATATATAGGGTGTATATATATATAGGATATGTATATATATATATATGATATTTATATATAATATAATATATATAATATATGATATAATATATATATATATTGTAAAATATATATAATATATGATATAATATATATATATATTATAATATAGTATATAATAAATATTATATATATAATACATATAATATATATATAATATCTATATATATATTATAATACATATATATATATACATATGTAATATATATAATATATATAATATTATATATATATTATGTATTATATATATTATATTTATTATATATTTTTTATTCATTATATTATATATATATTATATTATAATATAATATATATATAATATATATATAGAATATTTTGTATATTTCGTACATAAATATATATATATATGATTTCTTGAAATGAGGGATCCCAAAAACTGTCAAAACCATTGGTTTCAAGACTAAAATGATCTATATAATCCCATAGTTAATAGAGAACCTCCTAATATGCATATAGTATGTATGTGTTTCTATAGCCAGTATATCAGTATGATATCTGGCTTTGTCTGCTCTCAAAATGGCGGATCCTACACATTGCAAGCATGGGTACCAGTGGTCCGAAGCTGCTGGCTATAAATTTTAACACAATGAAAACCTGGATTTGCTGGAAATGATTCAAAACTGTCCCCATTGGCCAATCCATCATTTGGGGAATCTATCATGTTTTTTTAATGGCCCCCTTGAGCAAATCAAAGCAAAAATGTGCGAAACCACCCTCGGTTTCACCCCTTTACCAATGGTAAGCCCTGAGAGGAAGGGAAAGTTCTGCTCCAATGTTCCCAGATGTTTCAAGCATTCCCAAAATCTGGGCTTCTAGAATTTCCTCCAGCTAAGTTGATGAAAAACTGTTTCACTCAGTTGTGAAACCCGGTTGACATTGCTGTGGCATTCCAGTTGATTACGGGGTGTCCTTTGTTGGGAAATCCCAAAAGGCTCACCGCATCTCATCGGGATGTTGCAAGATGTTGTCAGCCTTGGAGCTGGTGAAGGGAGGGAGCCTGGGAGCTTCTCCCCAGTTTCCAAAAAAAGAAAGTACCGTGAAAAGAAACCACCGAAACCAAGAAATCAAAAATAGGGAAAATCCATGGAGTTACAGGAGAGATGAGGCACCTTTCGTTGAAACCTCCGGCTCGAGTTTCCATTACTGGAGAGGATCAATTTCATTCAAATTCCATGCAATTTGAGGCACTCCCAAGTTTGGGACACGTTGCAACTGATTGGGCGACGTGCAATTTCATGAAGCACTGCAAGGTGGTGCCCCCAGGTGATGTTTGTTGGTTTATAAGTTTATAACCCTCATCAATCATAGATATATCTAGCATAATCCTTGATATTGGAGTTATAAATAAACTTCGCCAACTACGGGGGCACCACCTTGTGTGGTTGATATAAGGATGGTCATAAGGTATAGCCATGACCACAACGCTCCCTTTCGATTGGATCTGCCTCATTTTTCCAAATTCCATGATGTGCTTCAAAATCCATTGTTTGCAGGATCAAATTACCTCAGTGTCTAAGTGACTTTGCCAAAAATCGGATATGCCATATATACGTCCAAAAAATGCAACTTCAATGGAGAAAAAGGATCAAACCCGTCGGATGCTTTGACCCACACCACCTGAACGAAAAAATATCCGTCCCATCCGTTATACTGGCTGGTAAATAGGAATCCCCAGTGTGGAGTATAACAACACCCAACAAACCAGTTCTTTTTTTATCCTGCGGTGTCATCAAACATTGCAATTGGAAACCCCTTTCAACCGAAGGTTTTAAGTGTAAAATCAAGTACACCCTCTGGTAAACCTAGCATATCTAGCATAGCTATTGAAAATGGCCATAGAAATAGTTGATTTACCCATTAAACATGGTGATTTTCCGTTATGTTAACGTTCAGAGAGTAAATGGAAGGCGTTTCGTTGCCATGTCGGATGACTCCTGGGGCCCAAAACGATTTTGATCTGCGCGACCAAGGCCAATTTTATCGCCTGACAAAAGGACCAGCGGCTGGTGACACGGATGCTGCCGGGGCTGAGAGATGGATATATTCCAATGTGATAAACTCATCATAATATGACATGTGACAACTACTATCATCAACAATATGATGAATATCAGCAAGTCTAGGTCAATCTTGGATGGGTACAAACTAATCCTTTGGGCAGTGTTTCCCAGCAAAACTCGATTCCAGGGATTCAAAGGCATCAAAAAAAGCTGGGTTTCACCAAGGACAAATGGTGAAGGCTTTAAGCCATCAAAAGATAGCGTAGCAACGCCCAAATTTATAGATTTGTGTTTTTTGTATGGATTTGACAGGATATTATTGGATTTGCTTAAGGAACAAAAACAAAAAATATTAAAAAATATTCCCGGCTAGCCTATAGATTCCCCAAGTAGTGGATTTCCGGAAAAATAAGCCAAATCACCTTAAACAAACCTAAGTATGTCATATGTTGTTCATATGTTTTCCTCTTTTCTGGCGAACCCATCAACCCGCCATTCACCAAGCCCACAGTTCGATCGAAAATCATCCATCGAACTTGACCCAGAATTTGGGGTAGAACCCATTTTTTAACATCGACAACGCCCCAAGAACGGGTGGGATGACGCGCCAAGAATGTTGGTTCTAACCGGAAATGGATGATTTCTCTCATGTCATATCCCATGTCTAAAGGAGTGTGGATCATATTTGGGTCCAACTAGAAATGGGATTCTTCTAAGGTAACCCCAATACTGAACCCGAAAAAACGGGGCATGGTTGACGGTTGTCCCATTTTATCCCATTTGTTCACCGAAAATTCGATAAATTCGGGATGGTTCATGCTTCTGGCTTTACCACATTCTCAGTGAAACAAAACTTTGCCACGGCCTGGTCAGCTTCGGTGCTTGACACGTCCTGGACTAAGGGCCTGGCATTGCTACTGACAGACATACCATTGGGGCTACCAGCTGCCAGCACCAGGGATGATTTTGTTCCGGTTTGTTCTGGCCTTTTAAGAAAAGGGGATGTCCAACGGGGTGTTCCAGTTTTGTGTCTGAATCCCCTCATGCCTAGTTATCATCCCCAAATTCTATAACGGTTATAAAGCATTATCCCCAAACGAAAACCAACAGGGCTAGATTGCAGCCACTGCTCAATGAGGTGTTAAGCCCTCGGAGAGTTTAAGGTGCCCCCAGCACTGAATATCGTCCCCCTGATACAGATACCCTCTGGCAAACTCAGATACAAATATAGAAATCGCCATTTTGAATGAGTAAAATATATAGTCTATATATGGAGTGTAATCTCTGACGATATCAAAAATGCAGATTTTGCCATATTTTCCGGGTTTGTTTGCCGGTTTCCCAGCTCATAGTCCATTCAAACAACAATGGCCCCAAGTTCGACCTCCGGAGACAATCCAAATCAAAATCAAACAGAAGTATCTCCTCGTGGATTCTTAAGGGAAAACAACCTGGCAGCAAATCATCTACTGTCGCCTCCGGGGTGCTGGAAAAATCTGGAAAATCCACCAGAAAACTGCGATGATTTGCCCATGTTGGATGGCTAAGGGTAAAGCGTAAGCTGTAGATCCTGAGGCTGAAAAACTGGCTCCAGGTCGTTCCATGGGAATTTTAAGGCGGGTGTCCTTGCGTTGTTCCAGGGTTGGAAAGAAGAAAAACCTCGGGTTTAGAAAAACTTCATTTTCCAAACATTGATGGCCAATAAACAATGATAACAGCCTAGTTTTATTGGCCAGCATGTTCCCTTATCATTGTTTATTGGCCATCAATGTTTGATGTAACTTCATTGGTTGAATCACAAGTTTTGTCAGTCACATCCATCCGTTTTTTGATCAAACCCAGAAATCACCATTTCTACTGGCACCCCCCAGCTATGAATTGGTTTATTAAACCAATATAAATATGAACATATCCATCATATCCACCATCAATCCAATTAAGTTAGAGTAGTTGTTTCAACAAAAACTGAAAGAAAAACACGATATTGTTGGTTCTATCGCAATTCCATAATGTATTCCCTAATTTCTTTGCTGGTTAAATCCTTGATAAACCAGGAGAGACCTTTGATCTTGGAGCCTCGCTATCGCTTCGGATGTTGTGGTCAGCGAGGTGGCACGTAGGGCCCGTTGTGGCACCGGGCGGCCTTGGGATTTGAGGGGTCTCAACCAGATCATGGCATTACCATGCCGTAGCCAAAAACGATGGAAAGATCCACCATTTCTAGCTGGGGAAATCCACTAGAAATCGACTGGGCCATGGCTTCAATAGCTATGTTTGTTTACCAGAGGGTATATAAATGGTTAACAGTAACAAAAAAAACATATATGATATCTATAATTCAAGCCAACATAAAGAAATGAAGATCTCCCATGAAATATCCCCCTGGGATGGGTAATCCATGTCTTCATCGCCAAACTGAAAAACTGTTAGGACATATCCTAGATTTTCATCATTTCCATACATATAGTATATTTCATTGATCATGTCCATTGTTTTTCCGTTTGAGCTGTGTTCAAAATCCCTCTATCATTCCATTGAATCCTGGTTGGTTTATAGGGATTCCCCGTTCTTGGATTATTCTAATCCCCAATATATGAAGGGTAGTATAATCCCCAATCATCAACCAACCATCATTTATCAACATGTATCAACTGTAAATCAACGAACTAATCTCAATCATACGTTATTTATCTCATGTTTCACATTGAAAAATCATCAACCAACAGGGTTTATAATCCTGTTCGATGTTATTTATACCATATTTCAATGCCATTGAAAAATCATCAACCAGGGCTAGATCGCAGTGCTCCATGGCCTGAAGAGAACTCTGCCTGGCCGCGCTGGCAGGCCAAGCTGAGTGATGGTTTATTGAATTTGAATGTGTAGGATTAATGAATGTAATGATATATATATATATATGTGTATATATATATAGAGATATGATATGTAAGTAGTCATTTTAATGAAAATATAGGATTTAATGAGAATTCAGGGCGATTTCATGACGATTCATGGAGGCAAAAATGGGGATAAACATTCTTAGGGACTTGATGGGATTAATATCTAAGATGGGATTTAATGAAGTTTAATAAGGTTTAATGGGGATATACCCTTTACCAAAGGTCCGTGTAAATCAAGGTTTTTCTGGCTGGGAAAAGCATCTACAATTTTGCCATTTTCCAGCCAGCCACGTTTGATTCACAGATCGTAGTTGCAAAAACCATGCTTTTGAAGGGGATTTACCCTCTGGTTATTTGACATAGCCATGGAAAATGGCCCATAGAAATAGATGGTTTACCTATTAATAGCATGGTGATTTTCCATGGCAAACTGTTAGTCATAACCACATGGTACTTTTTTTTCTGGGGACCATGCAATTTTTGGTGTTTAATATGATCTGGGGATAGGATATAGTAATGCCATTGGGATTTTTTTGTGGACGGCCCATCTATAAATCGTCCCTCCGGTAGGTTGACAGAGCTGAAAGATTGCTTTCGTTGGAGGATCTGACAACCAAATGTGCCAGTTTCTTTGACGAATTTTAGATTCTTTATGATTGCAAAAGCATAACCAATGGGATCGTCGTTCCAAATACAGCAAAAATATGCAGGGGCTTCCAACAGTTTGCCCTGCATCTAGGGATTTACCAAACCATAACCAAACAAGATGGGGGATAACCATGGAGATTTATCAGAATTTGGACCCAACGGGTTGGGTGGTGAAACATCTATTGAAGCTACGGAGCAGAAACGGTGGTGAATCAACTTCGAAAACCCCAGACCTGAAATGTTCCAAGAGCTCCTCAAACCGGTCCTTTACCCTCTGGTAAACTGACATAGTCTGTTGAAATTCACAATTTTTAGTGGCTAAATGAACTATTTCTATGGCCATTTTCAATAGCTATGTAACAAACTACCAGAGGGTAACATCGAACCGGATTGGGATTAGTTCGTTGATATATAGTTGATACTTGTTGATAAATGATGGTTGGTTGATGATTGGGGATTATACTACCCTTCATATATTGGGGATTAGAATAATCCAAGAACGGGGAATCCCTATAAAAACCAACCAGGATTCAATAGCTATAATATGGTGATTTTCCCGAAAAAATGGTGGATCTTTCCATCGTTTTTTGTATGTTTACCAGAGGGTACATGTGCAGAACATCAAGTTCCCCTGTGATTTCGGACGGTTTCGGACCGGACTCTCCGGACACAGTTCACCCGCGAAAAAAGGGAAACGACTGAGCACCATCAAGAGAATGCCACGATATATTAAGCACATTGACCAAGATATTAACCATGATATTAACCATGATATTAACCATTCACCATCATATATCCCATGATATTCCATGATTGTCCCTACTATTGTCACTATTTTCAACCATTGCTGCACCATTCGCTTGAATCAAGCCTTATATCCCACAGCGTTAACCGTTAACCTTCTGACAATAGAATATGTGACGACAGAATTCTTAACCAATAGAGTATGTAATAGCTATCTCATATACTATGAATGCAAAACTGTATTACTCTTGTCAATCCTAATTCATTATTAATGTTATCATGATCATCATTATTGCTACTATTATCATTATGATTTACTTATTACATCATATATTTTCTGAGTGTGTATACTATAAATAATATGGTGGTTTCCTAAAATGGGCTTTACCCCTAGTTCTCATGCATCTATAGATGGGATGCTCCATGAAATAAAGCATCCAGCTATTCAGGTACCCCCTTGATTTAAACCCCCATATAGCTATTCGTATCTGGTTATGACTAACATAGCCATGGTATAGATGGCCCATAGAAGTAGATGATGTTCCCAGCTATAAACCTCCATTTATGGTTGGGATTTTTCATGGCTATGTTAAATAACCAGAGGGGACCATCCTTTTTGAAGTCAACAGCCATGGAACCTCCGCTAGGCGCTGGTGCTGGATCAACACCATGAAGCTGCTCAGTGCTGCCAGGGACCAGACCTCAACCGTCAACGGAAAATCTTCGTTTGGGCCTAATGACCAACGAGAATGGAGCATGTTTGTTGGAAAAGATTCAAGAAGATGGCGACAAGATCAGAAAAGATTGTCAAAAGTGTTCACCATAAAATGAATGATTATATTAAGTGTAAAAACTGAATAACAATGAGGAAATATGAGGAACATGGATGTAAACTCAGCCTCGGAAACCCTAAAGTGTCAAATACCCCCCAATTTCCAATAGCCCAAAACGAACAAATCCAATACTGAGCCATGGTTTCCTTTCAGCTGTAGTCAAGATTAGGGGAAAGGGATTATATATATATATATTTATTATTTATATATATATATATATTATATATATAATATATAATATATATATATACAGTATACAGTATATACCCTGTTTTTCACATATTTCTTCCCTGGGGAAGCCTGGGATAAATTCATGATCCTCTGGCTCCAAAAAGGTCCTACCATCAACTTACATCCATTTCTGACTCAAGCCCAGATATTCCATATCTGATCATATCCCATGAAATATCATATCAGAAAAGTCATGATATCATATTGTATCACTATCATCCGATGTTAACCACTATTAACTATTATTAACCACTATTAACCATTACCAACCACTGTTATATATTATATATTCGGTATTGGTGTTATGATTAGGTTTACCACCTCTCCCATTAGGTTTACCATGGTATACCACTATTAACCATTACATCATCATCACATCACTATCATCCAATGTTAATTGCTAACCAGTACTACGCACTATTCACTATTACTCACCATTACTTTAAATGGTTTATCATGGTCTCTCCACAACAAAAAAGGCCAACACTTCAATCATATTCAGGTTCATTGGATTGAAGTAAATCAGAATACACCGGGATCACATTCGTTGGATTTACATGTAAGCTTCCAGTAAAAATCCTCCTCAGCCATAAGGCAAAATCCTGGATTTTTGTTAAGTTCTATTTTTTCTGGAAATAGTTACTTAATAATGTGGTGAAAACATTTTTTTTACCACCCCATGTTTGATGGTTTATGATTGTTTTAGCCACATAAAACGTCCATCATTCTTGTTTTATGATTGTTTTCACCATACATTATAATAATAGCCGCTTCCATTGTCTTTTCTCACTTCCAAACTCCGCAAAGGCCAAAAGGCCGCCACTGCCACTGCAGGCGCATCCCAAAGGCGGCAGACCTCACGACTTGGCGACAGACCCACATCTGCCCGTGATTTCACGGCCAAAACGGGGGATTTCACGCAAGGGGATTCGACCTGCAAAAATTGGGATCCCACTTTTGGATAAACCCACCGGGCCCGAAGTCCCGAAACGGGGGCATGTTTGGCATCCCAGAGAAGGGACCCATCACGATGAAAATGGGATGATGAACCGATGAACCAAAAAAAAAAGGAATGCACCTAAGCAACCAAACGTTCGAGAGTTTGGGCGAGAGTCAGGATTTCACCCAACGCCCAATGGCCAAGGATTTCAGCTTCAAAAGAGGAGAAGTTGGATCATTCACCTTCAAGACCGAGGTATGTAGCCACAAAAGGAATGCGAAAAAAAGCAGATGTCACCAACATTCAGAATGCGGTGCGCAAGACGAAGTCAGAAAAATTGGAGTTTCAACCGACATAAATTCGACAATTCACTACCTGAGGGACGGATATAATAAAGTAAGGAGAGACAAGCAACAAAAAAAAGGAATCTCATCAGCAATGAACATGTGGGATTTGACAAACACAAAATGCCAAAAATACGACCAACAAAGACTGGATTTAAGGTCTAACAAAATCTTCACGAACGAACAAGTAGGTTCATTAAAAACACACGCGCACAAGCAATTGGGGGTAGGAGATGGGGAGATTCGACTGCCAGGTCTAGCTTTCTCCAGCTAAGACGGCTTTCCACCACAAATTGCCATTCCGTTACCGATTGAAAATTGGTGGCAAACAAAAAAACGGCTCTTTTTTCGCAATTCCCCAAAGAAAATGAAGAAAAAGAGTTCCATTTCTCACTGAAATTTACCCTCTGGTTATTTGTTACATAGCCATGGAAAATGGACCATAGAAATAGATGGTTTACCTATTCAAAATTGTGATTTTCCATGGCAAACTGTTAAATAACCAAAGGGTAATCACCATTAATCACCATTAATCATCATTAATCATCATTAATCATGGATTAATCACCATTAAACCACCATTTTTACCTAAAATAATGTCCAGAGATGCCGAGAAACACAGCGCAGCAGCAGCAAGACCGGCTCCGCCTCTCGACTGACAGAGAGTTGACCCATCCCCGGATATCCCCGGTGGCGGCTAAGGGATCAAAAAAAAACAAATAAGGATCAAAAAAAACAAAATCGAGGGATCAAAAAAAAAACAAATAAGGATCAAAAAAAACAAATAAGGACGATCGTAGTGAAAATCGTCAAGAAACTGCGGAAAGGGAGGATCAAAAAAAAAAACAAATGGGAATACATATGAATAAAAACGAAAGAGAGTAGATAGCAAGGGAAGTCGATTAAAAAATAAAAGCGGGTGGGGGGGTGCAGGGGGGAGGGCGCAGCGCCTCCCCCCGCAATGCCTCCCCCCGCAAAGCGTCACATGGTCATGATACATTTCGCAGGGCCTTATCATCCACCTTTGTTGCGCTGTCACAGCATACAGCGGATTACAGCGGCAGCAGTAGTACCGTAACACTAAACGTAGCAGTTGGTGGGCCATACCAGAGAAAGTAGTTCTACTAGTAGTAGTAGTAGTAGTAGTAGTAGTACTACTACTACTACTAGAAAGAAGCACACAGGCTCAAGTCTCGATGGATATAAATAAAGATTAAGAAAGAGAAGATGAACCCAAAGAAACGATACATATGAAAAAAAACGAAAGAGAGTAGGTGGCAAGGGAAGTCGATTAAAAAATAAAAGCGGGTGGGGGGGTGCAGGGGGGAGGGCGCAGCGCCTCCCCCCGCAATGCGTACCAAGAAAGAAGCACACAGGCTGAAGTCTCGATGGATATAAATAAAGATTAAGAAAGAGAAGATGAACCCAAAGAAACGATGCCTATGAAAAAAATGAAAGATAGTAGGTAGCAAGGGAAGCAATTAAGAAATAAAAGCGGGTGGGGGGGTGCAGGGGGGAGGGCGCAGCGCCTCCCCCCGCAATGCGTACCAAGAAAGAAGTACATAGGCACAAATCTCGATGGATATCAATCAAGATAAAATGAACCCAAATAACCGGTGATGCTTATGAAAAACAAAAAGAATAGTAGGTAGCAAGGGGAACCGATTAAAAAAAAAGCGGGTGGGGGTGCAGGGGGGAGGGCGCAGCGCCTCCCCCCGCAATGCGTACCAAGAAAGAAGTACATAGGCACAAGTCGCGATGGATATCAATCAAGATTAAATGAATCCAAATGAACAACGATGATGCTTGTGAAAAAAAAGAATAGTAGGTAGCAAGGGGAGCCGGCTAAAAAATAAAAGCGGGTGGGGGGGTCAAGAGAAGGAAGCTTTCCTTTCATTTTTCAAGAGAAGGTTACTTCTTTCTTTCTTTCTTTCTTTCTTTCTTTCTTCCTTCCTTCCTTCCTTCCTTCCTTCCTTTTTTTCTTTCTTTCTTTCTTTCTTCCTTCCTTCCTTCCTTCCTTCCTTCCTTCCTTCCTTTCTTTCTTTCTTTCTTTCTTTCCTTTCCTGATTTTGTTTTTTTTTATCTATGGGTTTTGCCTTCATTTCGTGATAGTTTCCTTGTGTTTTCTCATGTTTTCTGGATTTTGTTTTTTTTTTGATCCCTATTTGTTTTTTTTTGATCCTTATTTGTTTTTTTGATCCTTATTTGTTTTTTTTTTGATCCCTCTCCCCCCGGTGGCACTGGGTCAACACCTTATGATTTCATTGGAGCCTGAGCCAGCTAGATGATAAAAATGCCAATCATTTAAGGAGATGATATATTTGGGTTTACAATGGGATACATCACTCACAATACTTAGATAATATATATATATACATGATATTTACATATACATGATATTTGGGTTTGTATGAAAATGGGGTATACCATGGTATACCCCGAAGTTATTGCCCATTTACTTTTAACGAACATGTTCTGAAGATTCTGAACCATTGGGTTTGGGAACCAGAATTTTGGACAAACCCAGAGGGCAATCTGTCATTGTTTGCGTATGGACGTGTCTTTTTGCCTGTTTTGCCCGAAAGTGTTCTTTTTTGTTCTAGCAACCAACAAACAAAAGAAAAGTAAATTCTTGCTAAAATAGTGATCAATTATGTTTCTATCTTTTTTAGGGTTGCTATATATTCCTGCCCATGTGCGTCTCCGAACTATTGCCTTTTCTCTTTCCAGTTCCATGCTGTTGTTGCTTCCAGTTCCCGTTGCCTGGTGTTCCTGTCTTTCTTGTTGTCATCAAAGCTAGGAAACGCAGCCGCCGCACTGGGACCCAAAAAGAACATGGCCCCCCGATTGAACATGTCATTCAGCCATTGCCCAAAATTGTTCTAGTCGAGCAGTGAGAGATACAAAAAACAAAAAGCTTCAGATTGTCTTTTTATTGGCAAAAAGAACATATCATAGAAATTGAAATATATATATATATAGTGTATCGGAAATAATACTGTACAGTGTATACACTCTGAAATATCACTGTTGGAACTCAGAGATGTGATGTCATAATCGCTGGCTGTTTGTGTGGTTCTAGCCATGTGAGAAAAATTAGGCTAAGAAGTTTCCCATTTTCCCTCCAGCCGCCGGAGTTCTTGCCCACCCGATCCATCGCTTCTGGTCCGCACCATGCAATTGTAGCCACATGAATGCGCGGAAGGTGGCACACGCTCTGCTGACTGCTGAAATCGAATCTGTAATCTGCATTGGAAATTCTGTCGCTGTTTTTCTTGAAAAAATAGGACCCCCACAGTTCCATGCCAATTCCAGAGAGACGATTGGCCTGCCGTGGGTTGGGATCCCCATAGGTCACTAAATCGCTTGGCTGCTAAAGAACTGTCGAATTTTTAAAGAAAATGATCCTTTCAAAGTTTTCAGTCAGCTATGGTTCTCTATATCTTTTCCGTTATGTCTGGTTTGCACTCTGGCCCAGTTCATGTCGACCATCGAGATACTGCTGCATTTCGAGGGGCCCCATGGGATCCCCTCGCGTTGCGAGCCCAAAGGTCATGGACGAATGCGGAGGGACCAGGCTGCTAACCCCTCATGATTTATAGTATCCCCAATAGATGGTTAGGAAATAATCCCTGGAAAAAATTATCATCTGTGTATAGTGCCATAATGTGCCATATAATCCCTGATAGATGGTTAGTATATCCCTTTAACGCATTTAATCTAATCCCATATAATTCATCAAGCAACAGAGGTTTTCTCAAAAAGTCTTCTCGGTTTACCATCGGTCTATGATAACCAGCACGAGCCGAAAAAAATCAACAGATTGATGGGACCAGGGGGGGGCCGCATCTCTCCCTCTTAGTTTGGGCACCCCTAGTGGATACGAATCATGATACATCCAAATAACTAGGTTTTTAGCATACTAATTTGTATCATGGCGAACACTGGCAACTGGGATGACATGCCCAATAAAAATCCCAGAATTGCTGGGAAAATCTGTAGGAAAAGTCCAAAAACCTTTGTTTACTGCACATGTTCTGTTAAACCAATCCATTGATTTTATCATTTTTTCATGGTAACCCCCTAGTCAACCAGGCCAAAAATTCTTCCAGGGCGGTAACCACGAAACCTGACATGCTTGCGGCTGAAATCCACATCTGACTAAGATGGCCCAGTTGATCGCAACCCTCCAGTTGCCAGTGGGAAACCTGGAAATAATTATGAAGGAAAAATAATCAAACTGCCTGGGTTTTTCCACCTGGAAAATGATGTTCTAAACCCCCATGAGATAATGAGGTGACCCTCCCATGCCTCTTGTAGAGTGCCCGGGGCAATGGATGACGCGGCGTACCTGACGCGCGGAGCGGCGCGCTGGCTTCGAAAAAATGGGGCGAGCATTTTGTTGAGAAATTTACGATTAACCAATGATCAATGGATGGAATATATGTGTATATATATACCATTATATATATATATTATTATACATATATTATTGTATGTATATATATATATATATATTGTGTGTTATACTATATTGCTATTATATAAAAACAGATATATGATTATGTATGTGTATATATATATATGTATATATATATAATGTCTATAATGTCTATAGAGGGTCAGATTTTTTTCAGACAGACCCTGTCTGAATAAAAAGAAAGCGATGATGGACTAGCCATTGTTGGTATTCAAAAACCATCGTTGGGAGGCACATCCCCCAGTGATCAACCCACTCTGAAGATATGTTCTTTTGGTTCACTGGCAAACCCATTGTTCGTGTTTCAGTGTGCCTTTGAAATCCTGAGTTACAACCAGTCCAGCACCCAATAAAAAGAACTCGACTTTTGTCGCTGGTCGCACGCAAGTCCCCAAGCTACAGTCCCCAAGCTACTACGCAGGTGGCGAGCCGCAACAAAGGATGGGGTTATGAACCCTCCATCAACTGCGGCATCCCATGCCACGACCAGACTGGATCTTGTGTCGGTATATGCCCTGACACTACCTGTTTGGCAACAGCGCATCGCCGGCCCCTCCAGGGCCCTGGGAGTTGTGCATGTGGACACGACCTGACTCGAACAGGGAGGCCCTCGAGGGCGAGCTCCTGAAAATGAGTGGGACACAGCTGCACCCTGAGACTTCGACATTTCGAGGGATTTCTCATGATTTCTCCCCAGCTTTTCTTAATCAGAGCCCCAAAAAACAGGGTGCGGCCTCGCCCTGAGGAAAACTTCGAAGGTTAAGACGCTTCATGCAAAAAAAGGCACGTCATCTCTCGACGTGGGATGTGGCGGCCAAAACCCGAGTCCAGGGATAAAAACTCGTCGTTATTCCACAACAGATTCTTCCTGGCTCTCCCAATCTTTGTGTGTCGAAGTTCGGCCAAATCAAACTCTGCTTGCGTTTGGAAGGTTGGCTACTCTACGTCTGCTTAATGGATCCACAAATTGGCACTTTGTTAACCCATTTTGCTTGGTTAATGTTGGCTATATGCCCATTATATCCCCATGGTTTCCCATATATATATATATATACATTGATGGTCATTCTAATCCCATATACACTCTGGCAATCTAAGCTGATTTGCCGGAAAATCCCATATTTATGCCATGGGAAAGCCCATTCAAAGCCCATTCATAAGGAATTGTTCAGAGTGTATTCAACCATCCGAATCCAGGGTCGAGATTTTCGAATTTTCGATCAACCTGAAACAAACATCTTCGGTGCTTTTTGGACTTTGATCGCAAGGGTTTTGGACAGACTTGCTCCGTAGATTCAGTGGCGAAGAGTCACGTAACGAGTATTCCCGTAGGTGACAACGCCCTATGAAAAAAAAGCTGCATCCAGGTATTCCCGAAATGCAGTGGTGCTGTTCTGTGAAGGTTGCTCTCCCAGGCCAGGGCTCGAGTGAATCTTGGTTGATCTTGGTCCAAGCATCGTTGCAGCCCAAAGAAGACCAAACACAAATGAGGAAATAGAGATGCATGTGCAGGATCCTGAAGGTAGCCTCACCATGTCTGAGTTCTGCAAAGGTTTGAAAGGGTCATTATTTTGTTTCAGCCTCATGTAGTGAGAACATATCCATCAAGTGGCATCATCGTCATAAAAATATCTTGGAAAAAACGAAGCAACCGCATCGTTCTCAACAACATTGTGGTTGAAAATAGAAAATCATCAAACCCGCCAACCAAAACATGGGTATCTAGTGGGAGATCATTGCTATTGTTTCAATATTCAGCGATTGCAAGGCCTTAAAAAAAAAAAAAACAAGTGACTAGGGCGAAGCAATTCCCATTCCATGCGCCGAGACCCCCTGGAGGAGCAACGGCTTCTGTGGTGGTCATCGTTTGTGTCCCAGCTGGACTTGTCTCGACGTCTGGCGAAGTATCTCTGCACCAAACGTCTGGCGTTTTGTGTGTCGTTCGCTTGCCGTGGATAGCAGCGGATAGCAGCTAAGCAGCTTCCCCTGTGGATAGATTTTGCCCAAATTTGCTGGATTTTGTTGGCAAAATTGGCAATGGAAATACATCGAACCACTTAAACTTGGTAATTCACAAGAGATTTGTAGTAGACCATATGGAGGTGTCCTAAAATAGGGGTACCCCTAACGCATCCACTTTAATTGGATTTTCCATTGCAGTATAAACCATCCATGTTGGGGATCCCCCATTTTAGGAGATTTTCTGGCACTTGATACCCCGAGCAGTTCCCAACATTTTCAGATAAGACCCCGGGGGGTTACCCTCTGTGAATTCAACATAGCTATTTATAAAGAAAATCACAATGTTCTATTTTGAAATCACCTGTTTCTATGGGCCATTTTCCACAGCTATGTTAATTTATTGGAGGGTATGCTTTCTGACATATTTCCACTATATTCCAATGATATTTCCATGATATCCCATGATATCCCATGATTGTCACTTCAAAATCACATTTATACAGAAGTGTCCGGCTTATTTTGGCATAGCTATGAATGGGATACCGGCTTCCCGGTAGGCCGTGACCATCGAAGCGGGCGGGATGCGTGCCACATAAACCGGCCGATCACCTCCCGTTCGCGCGCGGCCGGGGAAACTTCCACGGCAACATCGAGCAGTGGCAAAAACAACTAAGAAATATGTGTAATTGTATCATATGTATATGATAACTGAGAACTAAGAACTAAGAACTAATCATAGAAAGTAATAAGTATCTAATGTAGTTAAAAGTGTTACACCTGTTTACAGTGATATTTAGAAATATATAGTGTGTAGAAAAAACTACATAGAAATGTGTGTGTGTATATCAATTATATATATATACACATATGGTAACTCTTGGAAACTATGAAACACTGCAAATAATGGGATTATAATCGGATATAGGAAATAATAACTAATAATACGACGTAATAACTAATAACTGACATATAACAATTTTTTAAAAAAAAAACTGATTGATTACCTGACATATAACAAATAAAAAAATGATTGATTACCTGACATATAACAATTAAAAGAAAAAAACATGATTGATTACCTGACATATAACAATTAAAAAACACATGATTGATTACCTGACATATAACAATAGCAAAAAATTATTGATTACCTGACATATAACGATTAAAAAAAAACATTATTGATTACCTGACATATAACAATTATATAAATTAAAAAAAGAAAAAAACATGATTGATTACCTGACATATAACAATTAAAAAAAATAAGATTGATTACCTGATATATAACATTAAAAAACACATGATTGATTACCTGACATATAACAATAAAAAAAATGATTGATTACCTGACATATAACAAAAAAGAAACATGATTGATTACCTGACATATAACAATAAAGAAAAAAACATGATTGATTACCTGACATATAACAATTTTAAAAAAATGATTGATTCCCTGAGATATAACAATAAAAAACAAACACATGATTGATTACCTGACATATAACAATTTAAAAAAAAAAAAACATGATTGATTACCGGACATATAACAATAACAAAAAACATGATTGATTACCTGACATATAACATATAAAAAAAAACATGATTGATTACCTGACATATAACAATAAAAAAAAAACATGATTGATTACCTGACATATAACGATTACCTGACATATAACAATTTAAAAAAAAAAAAAAAAAAAAAAAAACATGATTGATTACCTGACATATAACAATAAAAAAAAAAACATGATTGATTACCTGACATATAACAATAAAAAAAAGATTACCTGACATATAACAATTTAAAAATAAAAATTAAAAAAAAAAACATGATTGATTACCTGACATATAACAATTAAAACAGAACATGATTGATTACCTGACATTTAACAATTTAAAAAAACATGATTGATATGCAGGTGTTTTTGGTCAAAACTACAGTATTCGAACCCAAAAAAAATGTTGGTATTCCTGGATGAACTCATCCCCCTGAAGCTGCAAAATTTCATAGGTGTTGATCCATCCATCGAAAGTCAAATGACTTTCATGTCACCAACCATAGAATTATGATACCCTCTGGTAAACTAAGAGTTTGCTATTGAAAATGGCCATAGAAATAGTGAGTTTTCCAATTAAAAATGGTGATTTTCCATCGTTTTTTGTAGATTTACCAGAGGGTAATCCACAACCCAAGGAGTAAAATGACTGGGATTTCCTGGGTAATCATCATTTTGGCAACAGACATCCCTTTTTTTACGCCATAAGAAATACATTAAAAAATACCATGCTTTCCCATCCATGAAATATTGCCAAATGGGTATCCCGTATCCAGTTCATGTGGATTAGTTCATGCTACCAACAAACCAAGTATCCTTTGAGCCTCATCAAAGCCACCAGCTGTTTCAACCACTGCTCAACTGGCACTAGAGCCTCAACACTTAGGAGGGGCCCATCGTTTTCTCGCTTTCGCTATAGCAACTGGGGTCACAAGCAGCAAAAAGTGATCATCACTTGGCTTCCAGGTTCCTCGCGCCCAGAAACACTTAGGGTTGAGGGCGGGAAAGATGAGCCTGGAATCAGCTGGAATTTGCCATGAAAAGGTGCCTCTCCAAGAGTGGATTTTGGGGAATCTCATCAGACCAACCCCGGTAGGGGGATCTTTATTGCAACATCAAATATCATCAAATCATTGTCAAACCTGACATTTTTCTCGTATCTTTCATCCAGGGGCGTCAGGTAACTCCAACGCCCCAGACTGCTGCTGATTCCAGTCCAGAGCCAAGCAAAAACATGAGCGCTGACAACGTGTATCTCCGTGTCAGCGGAGTGGCCGGGCATTATCTAGTTCGACTAGATAAACCACCAAAAAAAACGCGTGGGATGGAAAGGGTGGGGAACAAAGCTGAAGCCGCATGTGCAAAAACGCGCCGAACCGCCGTTGTCGAGGCGTAAACGTCGTGAACGTCAGATGCGCCATGCAACCAGCTCCAGGCTGCGTTTTCCCCAAAAAGATGACTGCTCAGACCACGTCAGTGTTGGACGCTCAGGACGCGCTCGGTTGCCGCTCTTAGTTGAAATGCACCCGCAACTTACCTGGGCCCCGGGCCGGGCATCATTTGGAGCTACACTTGGGATATCATGAGATTGGTCCTGTGGCCGTTAGCGCCTCTGGGTGCCCAGTGAAATGATTCTTGGTTGAGTTTCACTACTGCATCTACTCCAATCCTCTATTTTGCCATGGCAAAATCGAAATTGGAGCACCAGAATCCATTCTTCACTGGATAAATCCCACTAAATCCGCCAAAAGAAAGTGAAACCACCATTCTTTCTGATGACATATCCATCGTAGCTGTCATAGCTCCCCCTTTTTTTGGCCATAGCTGAAGCGCCCAGTGACCCACCGCCAACTTGCAACGCTCAAGGAAGACCTGGGGCAATCAGCTGGGAACGCATGGAGAGTCAAAAAATGCGGACTTAAGCATGCATTGTATGTATGTATATATATGTACATATATATATATATATGTATGTGTACATATATGGTCTCGTGTTCCGTGTTCCTAGCCCCCAATGGTATGGGTCCCCAGGTAGCACCCCCTTCCCTTCTATTTGCAAGCTATTGGCAGCATTTCTGAGGTCCAGCCTCGTATTTCTGACTACCAGCCTCGTATTTACTAGGTACATGCTACCTTTTAGACGACCTACGTAGCAAACATACTCCCTCAAAGTACCTACGTGCTACCTATAGTCATATATACATGTTCTATGTATCTACTTCCTATTTACTACCAATGCACTCTCACAACACTACATATGTTTAAGATATACCGTACCTACCATACATTCCAATGATACCATACATACCATACATACCATACATACCATACATACCATACATACCATACATACCATACATATCATACCTATCATACCTATCATACCTATCATGCATACCACACATACCATATATATGAAACATAATTACCACACCTCCCACACATACAATACCAAACATACATGCCATACATACCATACCTACTGTACATAACAAACATTCCATACCCATCATAGTAACCATACATACCATACAAACCATACATACTGTCATATCAAACATACCATACCCAACAGACCTACATACCATACCTACCATCCATGCAGTACCACACCCTCACCACACCACAGGGGGGAAGGGGGGCAGTACCACACCCCCACCACACCACAGGGGGGGAGGGGGACAGTACTATGGCTGACCCATGACCATGGCCGGGGGGGAGGGGGCTTGGAACGCTGGACCATATATACATAGATACATAGATACATAGGTACGTAGATACATAAATACATAGATACATAGATACATAGATACATAGATACATAGATACATAGATACATAGATAGATAGATAGATAGATAGACAGATAGATAGATTAGATTAGATTAGATTAGATTAGAGTAAATTAGTTTAGATTAGATTAGATACATAGATACATAGATACATAGATACATAGATACATAGATACATAGATACATAGATACATAGATACATAGATACATAGAGACATAGAGACATAGAGACATAGAGACATAGATACATAGATACATAGATACATAGATACATACATAGATAGATAGATAGATAGGTAGGTAGATAGATAGACAGATACACAGATACATAGATAGATACATACATACATACTTACATTACATTACATTACATTACATTACATTAAATTACATTACATTACATTACATTACATTAATACATACTTACATTACATTACATTAATACATACATACATACATACATTACATTACATTACATTACATTCCATTACATTACATTACATTACATACATACATAAATTACATACATTACATACATTACATACATTACATACATAACATACATAACATACATAACATACATAACATACATAACATACATAACATACATAACATACATAACATACATAACATACATAACATACATAACATACATAACATACATAACATACATAACATACATAACATACAAAACATACAAAACATACAAAACATACAAAACATACATAACATACATAACATACATAACATACATAACATACATAACATACATAACATACATAACATACATAACATACATAACATACATAACATACATAACATACATAACATACATACATACATACATACATACATACATACATACATACATACATACATACATTACATACCATTACATAACATTACATAACATTACATAACATTACATAACATTACATAACATTACATAACATGACATAACATTACATAACATTACATTACATAACATTACATAACATTACATAACATTACATAACATTACATAACATTACATAACATTACATAACATTACATAACATTACATAACATTACATAACATTACATTGCATTGCATTGCATTACATACATACATACATACATACATACACATGGAGTACTTACAGTACACACATACATTACATTACATTACATTATATTACATTACATTATATTACATTACATTACATTATATTACATTATATTATTACTGTGCATTACATTACATTACATTACATTACATTACATATGTACATACACATATACATACATTACATTACATAACATAACATAACATTACGGCCAGGCGCTGTGCGTTGCCCGAAGGTTCAAATGGCGTTTAAACATGATTAAATATGATCCTTCAACATGCTCAAACACCTTCGCAGGGCCAGTGTTTTGAGATTTCCCAGACGACGAAAAACCCTAAACCATCCTAAACCCTAAAGCCCCAAACCCTAAACCCCAAACCCTAAAACCCTAAACCCTAAAACCTAGGCTCTGAAAACTTTGAGACTCCTAAACTGGAAAACACTGCTTATACGCAGTATTTTCTGCAATGTCTCCTATCATATATTCGACAGCACGACATTCTCAATGTTAATGTCTGGGCAACACACGGCGTCTGTGGGTAACATTACATTACAATACATTGTATTACATTACATACATACATACATGTATACATAGATACATATATACATAGATACATATATACATATATACATATACACCTATACACATATACACATATATACATAGATACATATACACATATACATATACTTGATCTTTGCTGTTGGCCGTGGACACTAATCACTTACAACACCTTGCAACACTGAAGGAAAGACATATACACATATACACATTTACACATATACACATTTACACATATACACAAATACACATATGCACATATATACATGTATACATTTATATACATACACATATACATATAGACATATACATATATCTATGTGTGTTAATATATCTATGTGTATGTATATACATATGTATAAATGCATGTATATATATATGTGTTTATAACTATATATATATATACACATAGATTCAACAATGCAAAGGGACATCACACGTAAATAAAAATGGGTTTCACTCATGAATCGGGGTGCGACGAAATAACATAAATGGTCAGTGTCATCACAGCCATCTTGGAGTGTCAGGGGATTTCCGATGTCGAGAAGTGCCAGTCATGTCATGTTTCCAACATCGGATGGCCTGGGGTCAAACAGGAACTGATGCCGTAGCCGAACAGGCGAGGAAATCGTAGCGAGGAAAGGCCAGCCAATCAGTCCACTGAACATCAACTGGATTCTGTCATCTGGATTAATTTGAATTCTACATGAACTGAATATATATATATATATACCATCTGGTTATTTGTTACATAGCCATGGAAAATCACTGTTTTTAATAGGTAAAATAAGTAAACTATCTATAAATCACCATGGAAACACAGGGGATTCTTCAAACCGGGGATCCCAGGTAAATCCCAGCGATCCCACCTTGTCAAATTGGGCACGTGTAGTAAGACTGGCCACCTGCCCGGCTGCCATGGCATAGTCAGAATTGTGATTATGATATAAGAATAGCTTATATTATATATAGACATATGTATATATATATACATATATATACATATCTATATATGTATCTATATATACATATCTATATATGTATGTATATATACATATCTATATATGTATGTATATATACACAGTGTATGTATATATATACAGTATATCATGAAAATGATGATGATCAACCTTCGAGTCGGAGCACAAGCTGAGTCATCTTCATAGCTATCGTCTACGGCATGGAAGGACAATTTTTACTATACTTGGCTCCTCCCACGAATCGTGTTTGTGGCTTAGTTCACCCCATAAGTGGATTAACCCTACTTATCTATACTTATCTCATTTACAGTATCACCAGAAATATATAACCCCAACCATTTAATGGGAATTGGTCGTGTCTCGTTGATCTGCACCGTTGATCTAACCCTGGGGGACCCTGGGGACCCCGAACGCTAAAGAAGGTCATTCGCGCCAACGCTCGCTCCAAATTGTTGACCTTGGCACCCACCTGCGGGCCATGGGGCGATGGGTGGAAAGGAATAAGCCACTGGTCCTATTGTAGATGGAATAAACGAGGCTTCACAACTCAATGGCTGGCAATTGTCCATTCATGACCCAACTAGATGAATGGAATATATGGAATTTCCCCACTGGATATGGGATAAAATGAGATAAAAAAATGGATTATAAACCACGGAACCGATTCCTGGGATGCACATCCTAACAAGTTACGATTCCTGGAACCCTGAAAAAAAAGGTGGCTCATCAAGAACCAAGGAATTAGAAAGGTAAAAAGGACATCACATGAATATTATCTACTACATATATATATCTATATATACACATATAATATTATGATTAATTATAGTATATAAATACTTCTGGATACTCCGGAATGTGATCTACCAAACAGCTCTCCGCAAAACAGCCGCGGCCGCCTTTGACTCCATTTCCACTTCCTGGAGTGGCGAGGCGACTCACAGTAATCCCATCACCCTAATGGGATACCCACAATTCCAATGGATTACTGTCATTACCCTCTGGTAATTTAACATAGCTATTGAAAATCACCATTTTTAATGGGAAAATCCACTATTCATGGTCATTTTCAATAGCTATGTTAAATTACCAGAGGGTATTCCATATTACTTTAGCTGGTTCCCCTCTGAAAAATATAACTTCGTCAGTTGGGATGATGAAATTCCCAATATATGGAAAAATTAAAGCCATGTTCCAAACTACCAATCAGTAAAAACAAAGTTTTGGGGTGTATACCCCATTTTCAGACACACGCCCGTGAGAATGAGTAGATGTTCAGTAGAGATGAAATGGTGCTATGCTTGACCCACGTCTGAAATGTTGGGCCCAGTCTCTAGGTTGTCCATCTGATAGATAGCTGAATTGACATAAACCCAATAATAAATCCTCTTTTGGGGTATGGTTTGTAATGCATACCCTGAAATGGTGTGCCATTTGGTATTCGGGGATGGTTTGATTTTTTTTTGTTCACCACATCACTGTGTAGCAGGTACACGTCTGGATAGGATGGAAGACGTGTACCTAAAAATCCTCTACACATCTATCGTATGCAACGCTAGGGCTATCCCAAAAACCTCTAGCGCTTTGATCATGATCAGTGCAGCTATAACCAGACGAGGTAGGATACGACCAAAGGCTTTGAGTTCCTTGCTTTCGGAGTTTTCAAACTATAGTGAGGTTGAAATTTGTTTCGAGTTTCGAGCTCTTAAACAAGCCTCCCAGAAAAGGTTCGTTTACGGCTTGAAAACAATCCTTTCCGCAAAACAAGCCTGTTGATGGGTTGCGAATGTTTCTTTTGCAGCTTCAAAACAAAGGTTTTGCCCAGAAAGCGTTTATTTTCTGCGGGAAAACGAGCTGCTGCCTGCATTCCCAGAACCTGCTGCCTGTTTCAATGGATTTGATGGTGAAATCTATGGGAATCCATGTTTTTTTTCCACCAAAGGAAAGTTGTTCCTGTAGATGTTGCCTTAAACCAATGTTCATATGTGAAGAACGGTAGATTTAACCATCAAACATAGTAAAACATATGTGTCCAACCGGAGCCCTCCAAAATAGCCAAAAAATGACAAAAGGGCATGGCTCAAAAATCAGCTGCTGTACTACTTCTTAGCAGAGTGTGTAACCAGCCCAATCTGAGTGTCAAGAATTTGGAGCCAGATCCAAATGAGCATCCCATTACACTCCATTCTCTTCATGTCGCGGTGTCTGAACATGAGCTATACTGGGCACTGCCAAAAATTGCAACAAAAAAATATGGAATAATCTTCCAAACCATTGGGTTGTGGGTACCCCATTTTCAGACAATCTACAGTATTTTTGGGATGGTCACCTACCCGCCCTGCGCAGGGCCTGACTGAGACGTTCTTCAAAGAGCGTCAAAACTTCATCGGCTTCCTCTTCGAACTGTCCTTGCGCCTTAGGTCTTCGGTCTTTCGGAACATTTTTGGGTTGAAACCATGGGTTTTAGCCATAGATATTGGGTGGTCCTACAGATTCCCCCGGAAATTCCGGGATGTGGAGGTCGCTGATGGTTGGTGTTAGGATTTTTCGGAATCCACGCCTGATTTGTTCCAAAGCTCACAGGCTGACAGTATCAAGGGAAAAGTTTGCAAACAAGATTTGTGAGGGATACCCTCTGGTTATGACTAACATAGCTATTGAAAATGGCCATTTATAGTGGATTTACCCATTAAAAATGGTGATTTTCCATAGTTATGTTAGTTTACCAGAGGGTATAGCCCTTGGCAATCAAACATAGCTTGCTGCAACAGTTCGTTGATTTTCCTCTCCATGGCTGCGGGGATTTCCCAGCCATGATTGATTACTGGAGGCTAAGCATCAATTCTGATCTTCCCCAATGTATTGGGCAGTAGAACCTTCCAACTAGTCATCAACCAAGAATTAAATCTCATCAACATCGCCGAAAAAAATATCCCCGGAAATTAATCAGAGATTAGATCCCTATCATATCTATCATTGACTCTATAGACATATAATCCCAGTATAGATATATATATATATACATGTATAATCCCCATTCTATCCCTACTTTTAACCATGAATATCACACGATTCCATCCCAAGCGCTCCATCGGCGCTCCATCGAGTCCAGGCACGGCCTTGTTTCGAAGGCATCGCAAGAGCAAGCTCAGGAACTCATGTTTGCTGAGCTCCTACGGATGGAAATGGTTACTGTATATACTATGGAATCTCATGATAATCCAAAAAAAAACTATATATAGATCACTATAAAATCTCTATATAGTGGAACATAGTATGGTTTTAATATGTTTGAAATATCATGGGAGTCTTTTGTTAAAAAGAACCAGTGATGGTGATTCTTGCCCACCATATATCATGGGATCATTGGGCTTGGTAGATGGCACTTAAATCTCACGATCCCGATTCATATAAAGAGCAGTGAAGATGTTACCCTCTGATAATTTAACATGGCTATTGAAATGGCCCCTTTATAGATCATTTACCTATTAAACATTGTGATGTTCAATAGCTATGTTAAATTACCAGAGGGTAAAAGTGCTTCAGAGAGAGAGAGAGAGAATATCACCAGTGTGTGAAAGATTGATCATAGAATCATACTTCAGAATGCTTTTTATGGGGTTTCCAAAAAAATAGGGCTACCCCCCAGGTCATCCATTGATAGATGGGATTTTCCATGAAATAAACCATCCATGTTGGGGTACCTCCATTTTAGGAAACCTCCATATGAAGTAAACCCAGCAAAGGTATCCCCAACAGCAGCCGGGAGGAAACGTCTGAGAGCAGCAACAGGCGACTCATCCGGTGTCATGCTACCACAAACACATCATCATACAAGATATCTATAAATATATTCATGTGTAGCACATGTGTGTAATATATATATATATATATTACAACTATGCATACATATATATATATATATGTATGTATGTGTATATATATATGTATATGCATGCAGTTTTCTACCCAATATGCACGACATCTCTTCAAAATCCTGTCAGACGGTCCCTTTTAAACGGCGCTTCGCCCTGGGCCGACAGGGTCCTTGATCATCTTGCGTTGGTTCTTGTCGAGCGTTGCCGAACGGTGGGCATGCGACAAATGGCCTAAACGACTCGCGGGGCCGCGGGGTGGTCATGTTTTCACCTTGCTAACGTGCTAAACATAAGAACCACAGGTTTAATGGGATTATAATTGTTATCATTGTTGATAATGGGGGGTTAACCTTATTGGGGAATTTATGAAAACCTCTGGTTATTTAACATAGCGAACTGGAAAATGGCCCATAGAAACAGATGATTTTCCCAGCTATAAACCTCCATTTATAGGGGATGTTCCATGGCTATGTTGAATAACCAGAGGGTAACCTTACTGGTGCTAAACATAGGAAATGAGGGAATGATCCACAATGACTATCAATAATAATCCCAGCAACCCCCATTCCCATCCATTCACCACGTTTAGCACCAGTAACTTGACCATGGTTTATTTATTGTGGGGGTACCTTCCAAATAGGCACAATATGATACATAAATGGTACCTCCCCATTTGAAGGGCCGTTCAGGCTTTATTAATTCAGGGTCGACATTAAGTCAATAAAGAAGTCAATAAGTAGATAAGATTTGATAAGTAAACAAGTAGGGAAGTAAGTAAGTGAGCAATAGTAAATCAGTCAGTCGGTAAGTACCCTCTGGTAAACTAACATAACTATGGAAAATCACCATTTTTAATGGGAAAACTCACTATTTCAATGGCCATTTTCAATAGCTAGTCATAACCAGAGGGTAGTGATCAAAAGAATGAATAATCCACCGGTCCAATCATGTTCACCAACCAAGCTGATGGCTTCCCGGTTTCACAGCTGTCAATGCTGAAGAGTCCCCAGGTCTCTTAAAGAGTTTCTTGTCCGATAAAAAAAACATTCTGCCATTGCTTCCTCGGATTTTACGGAATGTCGTAAACCACTATGGAAAAATAACCTAACATAACTATGTTAGTTAGTTATGCAATAAACCTATCCTCTGGAAAAAATAACATAACTATGGAAAGATCCACCATTTTCTAGCTGGGTAAATCCACTATTTCTATGACCATTTTCAATAGCTATGTTAGTCATAACCAGAGGGTACCTTTTTGGGGATGATGGTTACAATCCCATGTACGCAAAATTCTGCGCTTTGCCACAGATTGAAAGTCCTCAAAGTCGAGAAGTTGCCATCGACCTATGATGTCCTTTAAAGAGAGGGGCCGATTTGCTATATGTACGTGTATATATATATAGCCATATATATATATGTTTAAGTCCATCATCCTATTGGTTGTTCCAACCCTCAGGAGATCTCTATCCCAAGCGGCAGAAGTTGCAGTCAGCGCTGTTGCGGCACTGCCCCGCAGCGAAGTAGATGCATGGACGTCGGCATAGCTCGGGATGCCCCACGCTGCCTGTGGCCCAGCAGCCATTTTTTGGGCTATCTAACTCCAACCATCGAAGATCATCTAAGTGGCTAGGTGGAAAAAAATGGCAACCAAGACTTGACCAACAAAAACCTCACGGACCCCAAGATTCCAAGGTTGGGAATCGTTCGAGATCCGTGATTTTTCACCCCCTTGGCGAAATGATGTGATATGTACATTGTCTCAGCCCTTTAATGAAATCTTCGCCCCGAAAATCAGGGAACCAGCTTCTACCTCAAATAACAAAACATGGCCAAAACAATTTAGATCAACTAACATGGCCAAATTTTCTTGTCTTCCAGTCAACTAACATGGCGAAGCCATGGCCCGACTTCCAACGAACTTTCGGCCTGGGTTGGATGCACTGGAAAAGTTGGATCCGGGAGATCCGGGATCGATCGACTCCTGCGATCGTTTTACCAACGCTTGCTGCGATCGTTCGAAAATCAACCAGAACTGGGATCTAAAATGGGCATATTCATGAGGATGTTATCAATGGGAATTTCAGGATCCTAAAATGGAGGTACTGTACCGTATAAGGCCATATTTTGTGGGGAATGGCCATTGATGTTATGATTTCATAGATGGCTAGATGGGAATCCCAGTAAGGGTCTCAAACGTCGCCTGAAAATCCGCCGTTGACTTTGATGATTTTCTCAGCTAGAAACCTCCAGAAAATGGAAGATATGACATACAGTAGAGGGTGGTGCCCAGGTCAGCAACAAGCCATTTATCGAAAAGATATCCCATCAGAATCCCTTCTATCCCATCTATCTATATCTATATCTATCTATCTATCTATCTATCTATCTATCTATATATATATATACACAATTATATATCTATACATCAACATGCACTATATATATATAAATTATATATACATATGCTATACACATATGCTTTTTTTATACATGAAATGTCAGCCGAAAAAAAATCTCACTGACTGTCACCGTGTCCTCGTTGGACTCGCTGACAAGGTCGCTGACTTCGGTGACGTCCGTGACCTCAGCAGTGCTCCAGGACTGAATGGCAGCATCGGCAGCATCTGCTTCGCTGTCCTGCCGATTTTTGCTACATCTGGGGGGAAGAAAACATGGAAAACATATGGAAAAATATGGAAAAACATGGAAAATATGGAAAACATCTGGAAAAATATGGTAAAATATGGAAAACATCTGGAAAACATGTGGATTTTTTTCAGAAAATCAGGACTTGAACAAGAAAAAATATGGCAAATTGGTGTGTGTTTATGATCAGAGGTTGGTTAAGTGGGGGTTTAACATGCAATTATTGTGGTGTACGGTACTGAAAAACTGTAACTATAGACTATAGTTAATGAGCATTATGAACGAACTTATAATTGGAAAGCCACATTGTAAGAATGATGTTGATAAGAATGATAAGAACTCAGGGAACAATAGTACTATAGTTATAAAAGTCCTAATTATAGTAATAGCCATGATAATAGAAATATGATCATTTGATATAATATCACAATACCAAAATATAACATCAGATACTGCTACTATGACGCCTAAATGATATTCTGATCATTCTTATCCATAACCACAACAATAATGATAAGAATCATCATGACAACGCTCTTCGAACACTGAGTCCCATCGTGCCGCAGACAGAGTCATGCATAAGAACTTTGAGCCTTTGTCACCAATTTGTCACCGCATAAATAAGTTCTTTTCATGAGTATGATTCTAGTTATGGCTTTACATGGGGAGTTCCTGTAGTGGATTTATGGTGATTTATGGATATGACACTAATCATAGATTCCAACCTTCATCACTTAGTATTCCGAACGCACCAAGTATGTGTGGCAAGTGCAAATGAACATTCTGCAGCAAGTATCCAGTATGTGTGGCAAATGCACCTGAGCATTCTACAGCGCAGTATCAAGTACGTGTAGCAAGTGTAAGTGAACACTCTATAGTGGCATAGCATCAAATATTTTTTCCAAGACGAGTGAACGTGATTACCCCCACCTTCATCCCGCTCTACCCCAGGGGACAGCTTTTCAGAGGAAAGAACCTATTGTACAGCAAAGGCAGCACGACGTGGACTAACCACGATAATACATCATAAGATCATGACCATGAGAATAATAACACTTATGTGGATAAATCACACACAATATCACAACACTATATAAGCTTTTCAAACACGTTCGGGCGTTCGGCCAATGACTGAGGATGATGATTCCAGCCCGCTCCTGCGCCTTCATGGTGCTAGAGAGTATCTCCTCCTCAGCTACCTGGACCTACGTGGTTACCCAGGGGGAGAGTTGTGAGTGTTAGATCCTCAAGGTCGCAACAAAATCACGCAGTGAGGCCCCCAGTCACGTGATGGCTATATGTTGGTTTAGTTTCACCCGATGAATACTACAGTTGTATCATTAGTATACCCCAAATTATAACCTAACAGGAAGCCAAGTTATAAATTCAGCTTCAATTGTGATGGCTATACGGCACCACATTCCAAACCCGAAAATTGGGGCCTGAGCGCCGAAAATCGATGGGAGTTTCTCCGTCAGCGTCTGCACGTATTGTCCGTCCTGTAGGGCCATCACAAACATCGAATTTTGCATCCATAAAGACGGCTGGTTCAAACTGAAAACTTTTATGCTTCTAGCCAACGTACCCTCTGGCAATTTAACATAGCTATGGAAAATCACCATGTTTAATGGATAATTCAACTATAAATGGCCATTTTCAATAGCTATGTAACAAATAACCAGAGGGTAATTCCCAGGTCACAAGTGAGCAATCCATTTGGACCATGTGGGATTCTCCCGATCATCATTCTTGGTGACACTCTCACAATATCCAAGAATTTATGGAAAAAAAGAACATGTTTTCTTGGGATATTCCAACCAAATGGGTTTCATGGGAAATATTATCGCATATTCAAACAATCTCAGAAGTCAATGGGTTGGTATCCTGTAAGCTTTCCTCTTTTTTCCAAGCCATTAACTTCTGGTGCATCTCTGGTTAATGGCGGCCCACGCCTTCTCATCACACTCAAGAGCATCACAGCTTTCCGTGCGGGTCCTGCGTTGCCGGTGGTTGCTGGATTTGTTGGTCCTTACATCAACTGGAACATATCTGCACTTGCTATTTTCATCTATTTTCTTGGTTCTTTTTCGGCTAGGGCGTGTTGTAACGACATCCCAATTCCTCTGATATCCAATGTATCCGATCTGTTGTTGGATCATTGCGGATGATTGGGGATAGTTAATCTCTACATTCACCTGCATTCCAGTAAGCCACAATGGTAATCAATATGGTAACTTCCAATAACAAATAACTATTACAGTAGATACTTGCATATTCAATATCGAATAATACTACTATTCGTCATGATCATTACTATTATCACAATAACTAAAAATTCGTAGTTAGTAATAACGAATAATTACTACTACTCATCATAACATACATCATAAATCATACTAATATAGTTGATAGATTTAATGATACTCCATACCCTCTGGTTATTTGCTACATAGCTATTGAAAATGACCATAGAAATAGTGGATTTTCCCATGAAAAATTGTGATTTTCCATAGCTATGTTAAATTGCCAGAGGGTAAATCATTTAATGATAAGAAGATTTCGGCCTCGAAGGCGGCAAGCTGCTGGAACGTCGGCTCAGGACGGCAGAGCGTTCGTAGTCCATCTCCTCCGAAAAAATCTGAGGAAATCCCTGGGAAAATTCGAGAACTGGGGGACAAAAAAACATGGCTTTATAACTGTGAAAAACAGGGGGAAAGATTGTTGGAGCCGCCGTTTATTGGTTTATAAACCATAGTTTGATTAGCTTGATCTATCTACCATAAAGCCTAGTGAACGTAGAATTATAAACCAACTATGGATGCAGCAACGTGGAAGTGCAAGGGCTCTTTCACTAATTCCTTTTATGGGATGGCTACTATCCAATATGGGACTCTCACAATCCATGAACTGGGAAATCCGTTCTTAACCAGCCAGCGGGTCAAAATGACTTGGGGGGACCACAGGTTTAAGTCTAGGTTTAGTATTACCCTCTGGATATTTAACATAGCTATGGAAAATGGCCCATAGAAATACATGATAAAAATCATGATTAACCTATTAAACCTGGTGATTTCCCAGTGCGCTACGTGAAATAACCAGAAGGTAACCATCCAACTATTGGGGTACCCAATTTTGACCCATACCCTAAATATGGGCTGATTCTCCAGTTGGGAAACTAGCACGGCAACAGAAAATTCATGAATCCATGAGTCAACCAACAAAACCATCAAGAAACGGGCATGAAAACACTTTTTTCACTGGGAAAACATGGTGCAAAATTCACCATCAATGCTTGGCAATTCACTAAGACAATTAAGAACATGGAGGCTTGGCTCAGAAAGTATCATTGAAAACCATGGCAACCACAAATCATAGGGACGTTTCTAGCCCTAAACCGCCTCATTCTTCATGCTTGAACATCCGTGGGAATAAATCGATATGTTTGGCTTTGGCCACTGTTCATATGTGTATGTTTGTGTATACATGTGTATATGTATATCAATGTATTTATATTTGTATGTGTATATATATATATACATATTTGTGCCTGCGGACCGAAAACCGTTCCCGTAAAACGCACGTTTTTGAATATCGCGATTGTGGGGTGGGGTGGGGTGGGGTGGGGTGGGGTGGGGTGGGGTGGGGGGGCATGTTAACGTTCCTTGTACTTCGTACATGATATATTGCCATGCTGCTGAGATCTCTGGGATTGTTTACTACGTTACATGTTGCTACGCTGCTGAGATCTCTGGGATCGTTTACTACGTTACATGTTGCTACGCTGCTGAGATCTCTGGGATCGTTTACTACGTTACTGGAATCTGATGAAAAAGTCAATTCCCAGCAACTTGAGTGCCAAAAGTGACCTCTTGATGGTGTATGCTAGAGCTTGGCAATGGAGATGCATTCACAAGAATGCTGACTGCCAGCTGATAACGGTGCATGCGTTGCAGCGATGACGCTGAAAAGCCAAAAAACGCGCCCCAAATTTCTCCAGGATTTCCAATCATCAAATCAGCACAGCACTGTGGTAAAATCACCGTTTTTAAAAAAAACGTGCGTTTTATGGGCACGGTTTCCGGTCCGGCGGGATATTTATGTATATCATGTAGATATACATAAATATGTATATATACAGTATATAGATATACACATATGTACACTCCTCTCCACTCCACTCAACGCACTAAATTCGGAAAGGAGTATTTACTACCATGTACCGTCAGTATCATGTGGCAGGGTCGGCCGAAACTCCACAGTCTCACTGGTTGGTGGTTGACCTACTCCTCTGAAAAATATCAAAGTCAGTTGGGCTTATTATTCCTATAATATATGGGAAACCCAATATATGGGAAAATAATCCAAATGTTCCACACCACCCAAGCAGATCATGTGCATTCGCAGCGCTTGCTACAAGTGTTGGTCGCGGTTCGTTCGACCATGCAGACCTGCCCCCTGTCAGCACACCTCCAAAACATTGATGAATGTGAAGCGGTACTCAAGAGAGATGGCCATAGCAACCTGCAACTGTTGTCATTGCCATTGACCGCAGTCCACGGTTGTTATGTCTGCGAAAGGACTGTCAAGCTTTGAATCAAGGAGTTTGAAAGGACCAGCTTGGGGCATTTCCAAGATTGATAAATCAGGATCTCTGAACTTTGTTGAATGTATGATTCACTTGGTGGCAGTATGACTTAGCATATGCAATACCTTGAGAGAGTTTCGATGGACACTTTGGGGAATGAGGCGGGAAATCCGCATGCCCAGCGGCCCATCGTCAGTCGTGCCGTAGCCTTGATAGATACTGGGAGTGTAGTCACTCAGGTCCCAAACAGGACATGGACCCAAGCCATGCGCAGATTGCTACAGGATTCTGCAATTGAGGGGACCAGCCCCAACTTTGATCGTTGAGTATCGTTAAGTATCATGTTCCATCTTAAATGGCTGCTTTGGGGGCATACTAACACATACTAACACCATGTCCAGAAAGATTGTCGCATGAGACCCGCTGGAACACCCCAGGCCGCGCCAAGACCTGTGTGTTTGCGAAAGGGTGAAGACGAGCGGAGAGCCGTTGGAACACACTTCCGTGGGGTTGAGCTGTCGCAGCCGCCGTTGCCATAGTCCAACAAGCTAGAAATATGCATCCCAACTTCATCCTAATAGTCCTAATATGGGGATGGGTCAAAACCCTATCCCCCTGGTGAACATCAAAATAGCTGGTAAATGGATGTTCATTCCCCTAACAATGGTATGTATAGGTATTGATCCATACCCATATGTAACCACTAATGAGTGACTTTTGCGGTCACAGAATATCACATGGTGCAGAACAACTTAAATGGGCCAATGGGGTGTGAAATTTCTTGACATACCAGAGTTGGTCTGCAAAGCGTGAATATTAGGTCAATTGTCATATTTCACTGACCTGAATTAAGGCTGTTTTGGGATACCCTCTAGTAATTTGTTTACATAGCTATTGAAAATGACCCAGTCGAAAGAGCTGATTTGCCCATTAAAAAAAAAAGTTTGTTTTTCCGAAAGTTTTTCCATAGTTATTCTGAGTTGGGCAAAGGTTGGGAAATTTTACAGGAAAGCCTCCATTTGTTTATGGTAAAATCCATGGTTTCCGGTGAGTTATCCCTTCTAATTCCCATTGAAAATTGTGATAAAAATGTGGATTTACCCATTAAAAATGGTGATTTTCCAGTTCCAGTTCCCAGTTTTACCCATTAAAAATGGTGATTTTCCAGAGGGTATCCAATCCAATTCCCATCATTCCGATGTCATGGGGATGACTGAACCACCGTGGCACGGCGCACAGGAGCTTCGGGCCCAGCTCTTCCGGAAGCTCCGAGGCCTGGGACACAAAAGTTTTGGAAAATCCATGGAGTCGAGTCGCCTGGATCTACCATGATTCATATTCCATATTTTACATATATATATGATATATATGATATATGATATATATGATATATATGATATATATATATATGAAATATATATATATATGGTGTATATATAATATATGATATATATTATATATATAATCTATACATATAATCTATACGTATATTATGTAGCATTGCTGTGTGATGTGATGAAGCAGCTCTTCCCGGGTGCCCGGACCATGGTTTCAGCATTTGCCTTGCTAGGCTCAAAGACAACTTCGAGATTCAAGGATCGGGCCACCACCTGAGGTTTTACGAATGGGATGACAAGAATGGGGATTTGATGGGAATCTAATGGTGTGTAATATATATATAATATGGGAATCTAATCTATTTGATAGGAATCTAATGGGAATCTAATCTATATATATACATATATATATGATATACCCCAATATTACATTAGTGCACAATGAAATATTTGATGGGGAAATCTATGATATCCAATGGGATGATGGTTTTGATTTATCCTAGTAGCTATATTAAATATATATATATATCCCATAGATTTTCCCATCATTAGATATAACCCTCCAATAATAGTGGGGATGTATTTAACCAACAAGATGGTTGAAAATCCAAAGAGCTGGTGGAAAGCTAGATGTCATGACCAGCCAATGGGGTACTTATGGTTTTTGTTCAAGCAGCAATAAACGGATTTATCAAGCAACCATGATATAGATATGTCTGAAAATTGGCTATACCCCAAAAAATGCAACCTTTTCATGGGGAAAATGTAGTTAAGCCATTGGAGGTATCCTATTTTTCGACCAACTCGCATCGGGAAATCATAGGTTAACCAACTTTTAACCCATCCGTGGGTTTGGACCAGAGATCATGTGGTAAAGCCAAGAATAATTCGGGTCTTAATAGTTTTAAGATGTTTTAAGAATGGAAAAAAATGCTAGCCAAGCCTTTTTTTGTGGCTATCATGGCATAGAATTGGGATAGAATTGGGGTATTGAAATGTGAAGCCAATACTCACCGTTTGTTTGGGTAAATGAAATTGAGCGCCTGGGAGCCTTCCACAGCTCATTTCTGGAGAAACCCATAAATCTATGCCATAGACAGGCCACACAGCCTCCCACATTGCAAGCTACCACCAGAACCCCAAATTTGCCCATGTCAATATGTATATTATATATATAGATATAGCACCCCCAATAAAAATAGATATTTGCGTTTCCAGTATAGTATAAACGATGTTTGCCTCCCAATTTCCAGGTTCGCAACTTGTCGTCCTTTATACAGTAGATAGTATACTATCATATTATGTGTGTAAATATGTAGTCATCCTGGGGTAGAAAGAATATGGACATGTCAAAAAATCCTCGCCAAAATGGGAATAGATTTGAACATTCCAGATTCTATCTACTACTTCAGGATTCTATATATATATATCATATATATTATATATATCATGTAGTAAGTGGTTCTAGATCCGATCTGATGCCCCTATCGTTCATCACGGCCCATGTACAGCTGGGATGCGCTGGTGCCTTTGCCAACCTCAGACACCAGCAGCACCAGCAGCTTCTGGATGTGAAACCACAGGGCTTCCCCTGGTACCCTCTGGCAAACTAACATTTTGCTATGGAAAATCACCATTTTTAATGGGTAAATCCACTATAAATCACAATTTTCAATAGCTATGTTTGTTTACCAGAGGGTAACTCTCACCAAGCATAGTCCTAAACCCTCCATTCGTACGCTTCAAAATTGGCCAAGACCGGCAGATCTTCCACTTGAGTGCTTGGCCGAGGCCACCCGCAGCGGCATCTTCGTGCTGGACCTGAGAGGACTGGCAGCATCCCCAAAGACTCGAGCGGCCTGGCAGTCGTCACCGCTTTACGATGTCATGGTGACGACTGGATGATGACTCGGGGGGGAACCCCCCATGACGCAACGGAAAGCTCCATAGAATGCATCAAAACATATCAAAACAATGGACGAAATCTCCAAGTTGCACAGTCAAGTCAGCTCACACTCCTAATTCCAATGGATTGGAAAACGGTTTTCCAACTCCGAAAACTCTGTGGCACCTCCGGGGAGGTTAGCAAGATCATCTGGCGACAGAGTTCGATGAAAAAATGCTCGGTTTTTTTCATCAAATCATTCACTGCAACTCCAACATCAAAATTCAGGGAGCTTCATTAAAGTAGGAGACGTTCATCAAATTCTCCGTATCTAAATGAGGTGATGCTCATGAAAGCCTGCAAATCAATGGGGATAGCCTAGCCCTCTGATCCCCAAAACCATTCAAAAAACCACTCAAAAAAAATAGTTATTGACTGGAAAAACTAGGTTTTTAGCCGCTTAAGCTTGGTATAGAGCTTGATAGACCTCATCCCCTAAAATGGACCCCATTTATATAGCGACAAAACCATGCTAAACAGTCGACAAACTCGGGCGACCTCCAGCTCTCCACTGGATGACAAATAGGCCTGGTGTTTTTTCGTGGCATGTGATGGCCCATCTTTCATGGGGAAAATCTGTGTGTCGGAACATGACGGGTATCAAAAAACCTCCCATGATGGCGATGTTTTTCCGAAATCACCATTTCGAAATTTCTCCAGTAATTTGGAACTGTGAATTGTGAAAAATCCTCCCACTTCTAGATTAACACGAACCTATGAGTTTTTTTTCTTATGCGAATCCAGTTCTTAGCGTTGCTTTCGTCTAGTCTTTCTGATAGTTCATGTAGTTTTTCTGTCCATCCAGGTGGTTTTTTTCCACCCTGAAAAAGCGCGAATTCGGAAATCATCGGTATATTCCACCTCACCGGATGTCTACCGGAAACGTCAGGCGGCTTCAACTATCCTGAAGTCATGGAAATGTCCTCAACATATTCAGATCTCCACCATAGGAAATGATGGGAAAAAAACATATGGCTGCCTGTCTGAAAATCGTCTATCCCCATTGGATTAGAATCATCTTCCCTATTGAAATAGACAGCTCAATTTTCATACACACAAAAAGAGCTTTCCTGAGATTTTTGGCTACATAAACCGATATTCATCATCCATTTAAATAGAATTGTCATCCCTCTGGTAATTTAACATAGCTATTGAAAATGGCCATTTATAGTGAGTTTTCCCATTAAAAATGGTGATTTTCTATAGCTATGCTAGTTTACCAGAGGGTAAACCATCCAGCTATTGGGGTACCGGAACTCTCCGCCTGCAGGGCCTCCAAGTCCGGGCCCGTGGCATGTTCAATGCATGGCACCTGGCGAGCTGCGGGCGGGCTGCGGAAAAGATCTGCGGAAGAAACCCCTTTTTAAAAAAAAATATATAAATACCCTCTGGTTATTTAACATAGCCATGGAAAATCCCCATTTTTTATAGGTAAACCATCCATAAATGGGCCATTTTCCATGGCTATGTTAAATAACCAGAGGGTAAATAATAGAGCTTTACCACCTAGAATTTTTGTCCCATAAACTCATGCTGGGAAAGAAGGAAATTCAAGGGTCTGTGGAGGGAAAATGCTGGATTTACCAAAACCAAATTGCGACAACTTCTGTGGACAAATGGCTCAATGTTGTGGCTAAAATGGCCGACC